GAACCTAACATTGCATTGTCAATCACTTGATCCACAATGTATACAATTGATAAGCTATATATGATTTATATTTTTCAAAGATTCATCTTGAACTTCGTAAGTACCTTGTAAACTGGACCAAATCCACCTTTTCCGAGCTTATTTTTTCAGAAAAATGTTCTGTTGCTGCAAGTATAATATCTAACTGAAATGAAGGAAAGTCTTCCAATTTCGCATGCTTCTCTACTTGCAAATTTTCACTGTTGTAGTCATCGCCAAATCTTCCTCCAGCTGAGTCAATCAATTCAACTTCTGAGCTATTTCTATTATCTTCTACAGAGAGAGAGAGAGAGAGAGAGAGAGAAGGAAGAGAATAGAGAATCAACTAATAGTGGGTTGTAATTGTAAAAGAATTGTGGAAATCACTAGACTGTAATTACCTTTCTGTACAAGTGTTGCTTTCCTTCTCCTTTGGTAGTAGATAGACTTATGTTGATAATGATTGTAATTATTTTTCTTTTCCTTCCTTCAGAAAGCAAATGATCTTCATTTAACAACAATTTATAACATGCCTATTTGATTTACAGTTCAATGAAAACAAAATTAAGGAGTAAATTACACTATTCACCATTAAACTATTATCAAATTCTAACTTTGGTCTTTAACGTGTAGATTTTCTGAATTTGGTCATTAAACTATTGAATTTTTCTTAATATGATTTAGTTAATAATAACTAACATCCCATTAACCACTAAATTAGCATTGTATCTGTAGCAAATTTTGTAGAGTAATGCACATTTCTTAAGAAATTGAGCATTAGGCTTCACCTCGCACCTAAAGTGCTAAAGTGGGATGGAAACACTCTTATACTAAATCTTCGTACGATATTGAGTGTAGAGAACGGCTTAAGTGACAGAAGTTCGATGAACATAAAAGAGTTTTTTGATCCTCTAGAAAAAAAAAAAAAAAAAAATCCAAAATCCAAGCAATAAAAAAAAATCAAGAATGGATGGCAAATGATAGCCAATGTGAAAGGAAACTTTATAAGTGTTTATTTGAATGACATGTACATGGAAAGTGAAGGTGTTTTTAAAAAAGATGAAAAAAAGTAAATAAATAAAAGTTTGCATATCCTATTGCCATGAAAATTGTTGCAATTCAGAGTAAAGAATTTCAAGATAGAAATATTGCATCTAAGCCGTCAAAAGTGATATATTTTAACAACAAAAATCAGGACATCAATAGAAAATTCAAGTTTAACGAGTTGTTGGAAAATAAACTTGTTTTTAGTAATTTGAGAGTAACTATAATGCATGTCGCCAACTTGAGTTGTATGCTAATGTTTTTGTGGTTATAGTCTAGTTGAGGAAATGAGTCATAAATTATCTTAATGTTAGAATGTCAAAAATTATCTTACAAGTTTCTATGTACCTTTGTAATTGGGAAATGGTGAAGAAGAAAAAGAGGAGAGATGGTGTGCAAGCTTAAACAACAAAGATAAATGAAGAGAAAGGGACACGGTCTTTCGACCCCTCTATTTCTAAAGCCTTTGAAGTCCTTAAATCTTGTGAAATGGGAGAGTTTGGGAATGGTGAATAAGTCAAGAGTTATTCTAAATCATATAGGGAGTCCATCTCCAAGGGACCCCAATAATGAGGAGACTTCTAAGGAGGAAAATAGAAGAAAACTCAAAGAGAAACTTCATATCCTAAAAGCGCGAGAGGGAAATTTTGAATCCTTTTTGTTGTGATAGTTGCTTTATGCCTTTTGTAGGCTTAGTTTTGTGTCCTTTGGTGGGAGTAGTTTGGTTCTGTTTATTTTTGTACTCCTTACAAAGATGTGTATTGAATTTCGTTGTATATCCTTCTTTTTTTTGGTTATCAAATTACTTACTTATTGATGCATACTGAATTTTAAAAAATAAATATTTGTATTTTAATATTTTAAAATTAATATTTGATTAAGAATATTCTAATTTAGTATATTATAGAATTATTTAGTTATTTAGTTTCCTGATTTGATATGGTGTAATTTTCCATTTTATTAGCTTTAATTTTTATTTCCTATTTTATTAGTTTCTTGTGTTCCAATAATTGGGTTTATTATAAGTAATGGCTATAAGTCCTACGGGAAGAAAGCTTTTGATGATTAATGAAATTGTGAGTTGATATACTTTTTTTCTCCAACCTTGTGATTCTTTGAGAATCAACTATTGTTGAGCCTTTATTCTCGGTATTCATTGTGAATCAACGAATTTAGAGAAGAATCCTACTTCCGGTATTCTTGTTTGAATCAACTAATTTTAAGATTGTTATTATTTCACAATTCGCGCCACATCAGTTAGTATCAGAGCTTGTGATGTTCCTGCACCATGCCTAGGACTTGCGATGATAATGATTCTAACCTATTGAGTTTTCATGGTAAAAGACCGAAGAGAGATCATACAATAAAGAATTATCAAAATCACTTGAACCAAGTCACTGAAGAAGAAGATACAACTGAGTGGCCATTCACATCAAAAATTATTCCTAATCCAATTATGGATTGGAGTAAACCACCAATTTTTGATGAAAAACCATTCATTGATAGAATTAATAATATGCTTGATCATGTTTGCCTAATGAAATCATAAACTAGAGTCATGTAAGTGATCATGATTGGGTTGAATCCTTTTTTATTCAATGTGGATATCAAGTATTAGACAAATGTATGTTTGATATAGTAAAATATTATTCAAATTATATACTTGGTTTACATGAGTTCAAGGGCATTCAAAATCGATCTACAATGTGGAGAATATTTTCTGTGATCCATTTAAAGAGAAATTTTATGAAGATTCTACAAATTTGAGTTTGAACTGTTCTGATTTGTGCTTTGATGAAGGTGGGTTAAATTTATTGAAGAAAGTTGTTCGTTTAATTTTGGAAGACTCTTCTTTGAAATTTAGGTTTAAGAAAATTAACCTCAAAGACAAGGTTGATGCAAACAAGTGTAGAGTTCTCAAATTATTTCAAACAATAGAAACTCGATGACGAGTTTTCTCAAGTGGGAGAGAATGATGCATACCGAATTTTAAAATATACATATTTTATTTTAATATTTTAAAATTAATATTTGATTAAGAATATTCTAATTTAGTATATTATAGAATTATTTAGTTATTTAGTTTCCTGATTTGGTATGGTGTAATTTTCCATTTTATTAGCTCTAATTTTTATTTCCTATTTTATTAGTTTCTTGTGTTCCAATAATTGGGTTTATTATAAATAATGCCTATAAGTCTTGGGGGAAGAAAGCTTTTGATGATTAATGAAATTGTGAGTTGATATACTCTTTTTCTCCAACCTTGTGATTCTTTGAGAATCAACAATTGTTGAGTCTTCATTCTCGGTATTCATTGTGAATCGACGAGTTTAGAGAAGAATCTTACTTCCAGTATTCTTGTTTAAATCAATGAATTTTAAAATTGTTACTATTTTACATTTTACGCTGCATCAAAGAGAGAGTCTGTGTAGCGTACAATAATTTTTGGTTTATTGGTTTTACATTTTGGTCATTACAATAAATGTTAAACAAAGGTAATATTTGGAAAAATTGTATTGTTATGAATTTTTTTCGGAAATGGAAATTGTATGACAAAACTTCAACCAAGTGAGTTGTGTTTGATGTAATAAAATAGTTAATAACAGAGTACGTGAAAGCTCAAGTGAGTTGAATATCATGGCCTACCACAAATCAATAATATTTCTACCAGATATAAGAATTAAGGAAAATTAATAATAGATAAAGCAGCTATTCTAAACTAGGGGCCGCCTCATTATTTATTTTCATAGAAAAGTAAAAGAACATGACAGGTATTATTGAATTTAAACCACTTTTTACTACATTCAATTCACTTTTCATTGAAATTAAAATATTTTAAATATTTAAAAAAAAACTTATTTTCAAAACATTTTTTACTTTAATTCTGACACTAAATAATGCTCTAGAGACATATGCTAGCATTTACATATTGATTACAAGAGTTTCGTGAAATTTTTATGAAGGAGGCAAATGCTAAGGCACTTGTTCGTGTCGAGATTTGGTACAAAAATGTTTTGGAAATGAATAAAAAAAAATAAAAAAATATTTTACAATTATAATTTTTTTTTTAAATTTTTTTTTTTTTATGAAAAGTGACTCACTATCCTAATTTTTTTTTTAATAATTTTCTTGGGTCCAGGAGCGAGGCCCATAGAGAACATGCATAAAAGTCCACAAAGAGTCTTGACCTCTTTTTTTTTTTTGGCATGAAAAAGGCCCACAAAATTGTTTCTCTCTCTCTCTCATACATACATTTTTTTTTTTGATCGGTAAAAAAGAAACTCTATTGATGTAAGAATCAAGTAGAATGCACAAAACAAAATACATCAATAAAGAAAATGGAAGTGCAAAAACATCACAATGGGCTAAATCATCTCAACTAGGTTGGCACAAAAAAACTCATTCTATCATTTGCTAGCACCTCCAGAGTTGGTGAGGAACCAACGAGAAAACGGACCAAACTCCACAACAACTACAACAGATCACACCAGATCAAACTCCACACCAACAACATATCACACCAGATTCCATGCTCAGTCCACCTCCCATATGAAGACTGACAGATGGAATACTCAGCTCCCATTCCTAGTGCAATATTGAACCCCAGTAGGCTTTGCTTTAGCAGTTGAACCTGTTGATTGTGTTGATATTGTGTTGGCATATATGTAACTTGTGTCCTTAGTTTTGCAGGGACTCATATCGCTTGTATCTTGTATAGGTTGGAAGATTACACAAGTTCATTTTGTGTCTGCAAAGTTTCTACCTTTTATACGTACAATAAGAGTATGCACACTATTGTGTGTAGTGTGCAATTGAAACTGTTATGTAGAGAGAGAGAGAGAGAGAGTGATGTGGCATGTATGGTCATACAATTCTTGGATCAAAGGGATAGGTAAGGCAAAGGTAAAAAACGGGTTGGATTCGGAATCACGTGAAATTTAGTGGGTCAATGGAAAACGTGATTTTAAGTAGAAGATCAAGCACTTTTGGATTACCTCCATCTTCGCTTGTGTCCTAGAGTTGCTGCTGGTTGCTTCCTCATCTTCCACCTTGAATAAAAGTACCTGATCCACAATCTCCATCACTTGTTCTGGCGAAGCCATTTCAGCTAATTTGTGAAGGTTCTGGCCGTCTTTAAACATGTCATCAGTGGGTATTTTCCCTGTGAACATTTCCAACAAAAGGATACCGTAGCTATAAACATCACTGTATGTTGACAGGTCACTTCCCATGCCATATTCTGCAACACATCTCACATTATTAGTTTTGTGATAATTGTCATATAATATATACATATACGTACAAAAGCCACATTACCTGGTGCTGCATATCCAACAGTTCCCTTAATTTGAAGGGAGCTGGTATGACTGAGAAATTTCATTGTCATGTTGCTTTAGGAACCTTGCTAAACCAAAATCACTCACATGGGCAGTTAAGTCACCATCAAGAAGAATGCTGCTTGGCTTTAAGTCACAATGTATGATTGGCGTGTGGCAGTGATTATGAAGATAATCCAAAGCAGAGGCCACATCAATTGCTACATTTATGCGTTGAAGAAGGTTTAAACTCTTTGGTTCCCTATGTACCCCAGTTGATGGAATTGGATGCAACCAAGTGTTGAGGCTTCCATTTGGCATGAACTCAAATACAAGGGCTTTGAAATTATTACCATGCTTTATTGGCTTATTCCTCCACAAAGCTTATTATTTCCATAAATCGAAATTCAAAGACAGGCTTAAATTCCTCAAACACGGAAGAGTACCTAAAGTCTTGGGAATTTCACCGGAGAGATTGTTGCACAAAAGATCTAGAACTTCAGTGGCTCTCAAAAATCTGAAAGATTGTGGATTAGTTCCTCTAAAGAAATTATGATCCATATAAAGGTATTCCGAAGTTTCACAACTACTTAGGCTGACAATCGTATCTGATCTTTGTTTGCGTAAATAGAAAGTTATGGAAGTAAGTACCGAAAGAAAGTGATTTGATTGTCACGCCCACATCTCAACCCATATATTTTCTTTCTTCCCTTGTTACTTGCAAGTTTGAACTGGCCATTGTTGGTCTAAAATGTAGTGCTATGATTTTGAGGTACATTCTATCCACAAATGAAAATTTTCAATTTTAATTTGATTGCAAAATGAGATTCCTATATATAAATTGTTATCTGAACATACACATGTGGATCTTTATTTCCCTATTTTGCGAATTCCGGCAACTGTTCTTAGACTGGATCAAACACGTGACATTACCCAGTTCATCAAAAAGGAAGGCAAGACAATGAAAATTCAAACAAAAGAATCGTCCAAAAACAACAAGACAGAAACATTGTAGAAGGAAAAGGGGATGAAGAACAGCAGAACATTAAAATTACAATGGAGTAGACATAAATCCAACAAAATCAAAACAAGCCACAGACTGCCTTTTGTACATACAGAAATGCCCCTAAATCTCTAAAACTTCCACACATTCAAGGTCCACTATAATACAAAACTCAACATCTCTGCTTATGCTAACTTCTTTTTACAAACAGAATCAAATGTAGCATGCCACCACTTACACTCTCAAGCCTCGGGAACAGGAACAGAGGCCTGCTTAGAAGGAGAGGCGGCAACCGGAGGTGAAGTGCCAGTTTTGGCATCTGTCTTGGTTTCTGACAACAGTGGCGGTGTAGGCTTCATGTGGGATGGTGGATTGTGTTTAAGCTTCACAAGTATATGACGCATCCTTGAAAGATCGGTTGGTTTACCAGGCTTGGGGCCCTGGATCACAACAATGGATGGCTGCTTTTCTTTCTCCTTCTTCCCCTTCTTCTCTATAGTTGGCACTTCATTTGGGATGAGTTCTGCAATTGCTTTCCAGCAAGTCTTGTTAGCTTCTGCATGGAACTTCTCTTGTCTTTCCACAAATAGCTGCAATATAGATCCAAGTTAGGCATTGCCTCATACTTCAAACATCATATTAGTTTTATTTTGTGAAATTTCAAGTTTGTTGGGGGCACCAAATATCAGTTCAACTGATATATCCAGGCAAAACTGAGTTTCTTGTTAGTGGCAGTTTAAAGAGAAAATGTTAGTTTAGTGCTAACCACTGAAAGAGATTCAGTTCAAAGATGCCCTAAAATCTGAATTGTGTGCTTAAACGCTCGGAGAGTGCATAATGACATATATAAATGGATCACAGGCACTAGTTGGTGTCTACAATCCACCACATGAACTCCTAATTACCCAAATGTTCTACAGTTCCCAATTAAATTTGGATAGCCTATCAATTAAGCAATTTCTTTACTTTACCTATGCACTTGATGACCCGCAAACTATATTAAAACTCTCCAGTCTCCACATAGAATGCCTTTCCATGGTACATGCTACAATTCAACAACAAACAAAGTCCATTCGAGCAACTTACTTTCATACGTACTTAGACAATTCTGCAAAGAATGTTTGTCAACATGGAATCCACTCCTTAAAATTGGAATCACCAGCTATCATAGTTCAAAATTTGTACTAAGATGGCCTCAAATTTCAAATCGAAGACATGGATTCCATACTTCCAAACACAAAATTCTAAAGGTAAAAATGCTAGTTCTACAACTCAATGCCAAACACAAGCATATCTAGGCAAAATAGCAGCTCAACCCAGAAACACCAATAACTAAACTAATTACTGGCCAGGTTTTGAGCCATGTTGATAAAGTTGGAAAGTAAAACGTATCTTAGACAATAGTGTCATGAGGCTGTAAAATGAAGTAATTGATTATCTTGGTTAACCATTTGTTGAATGCTATTGCTTTATTCATTGCTTATATGTGGTTTAGTATATTTCTACTGGGCTGTGGCTCACCCTTTATGGGAACATCATTTTCAGGTTCAGGTGATAAGCTACCTCCAAAGACTTAGTTTTGAAGGACTTAGATTTTGAAGACTATTTTCAGTTATTTGCTTTCATTTGTTAGTACATGTAAACACACAAGCCTAGGGCTTTATTTGTATTTGAGTTAGAACTCATACTTTTGTGTCCAAGTGTTGGCTTGGAAAGATGTAAGCCGTTAGGGCATTTAATTTGATGTTACATGTAATGCTTTTGTTTAGCAAGACTCTGATGAATATTATAATGAATTATTGAAGTGTTTTCTTTAAATAATGCATGTCATTGATATATATAATGGGTTAATTTTTAGGGCGTTACACAAGATGAGGTAACTACTCTTTATGAAGAACTTGAAAGTGCATTCCATGAACTACAAGATGAATTTAGAAAAGTTTGTGCCAAAAATATGAAGAAATATGTTGCATCTTTATCTATTAATCTAGAAGAATTAAAGAAAAAAAAAATTGTTTTGAAAAATGATTTTGACACTATCTCTAATGAGAAAATTGCTTTACAAAACAATGTTGATGATTTAACAAAAACACTTGAAAATTTTGTAAAAGGTAGAGACAATCTTAACATGTTTCTTGGAAATCAAAGATGTGTTTTCAATAAGGAGAGCATTGGATATGACCCTATTAAAAAATAAAAGAATCTCAATACAATTTTTGAAAAGGCACCTCTCATGACTCACCCTCATATTACTTATCATTATTGTAGAAAGAAAGGCCATTATATATCTTCTTGTCCATTGGAAAATAATATAAACATGGGAATTAAAAAGATTTGGATTGTTAAGGGATCCAACAAAACTAACCAAGAAGGACCCGAGAAACTATGGGTACCAAAACCAACACTTGATTGTCATCTTGTAGGTTTGTTTTAAGTCCAAAGCTAAAGAAGGGAAGTGGTACCTTGATAGTGGATGTTCCAGACACATGACCGGAGATAAATCATTCTTTACTAAACTATCATCGAAAGATGGAGGATTTGTTACTTTTGGAGGCAACAAGAAAGGAAAAATATCAATATTGGTAGCATCGGTATTTTTCCTAACCCTTCTATTGAAAATGTTTTACATGTTGATGGACCTAAGCATGACTTACTTAGTATTAGTCAATTATGTGATAAAGGTAATCGAGTTATTTTTGATAAATCACATTGCACAATTGAAAGCACAAATGATCATAAAGCTTTATTCGTTGGTAATTGCCATGATAATATTTATATTTTTCATCTTAATGATCTCTATGCTAGTAATGTTAAATGTTTATATGTTAATAATGAAAATAGTTGGTTATAGCATAGAAGACTTGGTCATGCTTATATGGATTTAATTGCTAAACTTTTGAGAAATGATTTGATCATTGGACTTCCAAAAATTAAATTTGAAAAAGATCATCTTTGTAGTACTTGTCAACAAGGAAAACAAACTAAAACATCATTTAAATCAAAATCTCATATTTCCACAACTAGACCTTTACAACTATTGCATATGGATTTATTTGGTCCCTCAAGGACATCTAGTCTAGGTGGCAAATGTTATTGTCTTGTTATTGTTGATGATTATTCAAGATTTACATGGGTTATGTTTTTAGCACACAAAGATGAAACCTTTTCTTCTTTCACAAAACTCTGTCGTAGAATTCAAAATGAAAAAGGCTTTCTTATTACTAATATTCAAACCGACCATGGTAGAGAACTTGAAAATGAGATATTTGAATTGTTTTGTGATGAACATGGTATTGGACATAATTTTTCAGCACCTAGAACCCTTCAACAAAATGGTGTAGTAGAAAGGAAGAATAGAACTTTAGAAGAGATGAGTAGAACAATGCTTTGCAAAAATAATCTTCCTAAATATTTTTGGGCCGAAACCGTTCACACCGCATGTTATATTTTAAATCGTGCACTAATTAGACTTATTCTCAAAAAAACTCCTTATGAACTTTGGCATGATAGAAAATCCAACATTAGTCACTTGCATGTTTTTGGTTGTAAATGTTTTGTGCATAATAATGGTAAGGATAACTTAGGTAAATTTGATTCAAAATCTGATGAAGCAATTTTTCTTGGCTATTCCTTAACTAGCAAAGCTTATCGTGTTTTTGATAAAAAAAACTCTTGTTGTGGAAGAATTTATACATGTGACATTTGATGAAATTAACATCTCTGCTCAAAAGCAAATTTTTAGTGATAATATAGATTTGGAACCAAATGTGGAAGATTCACTACAAGAAAATACATTTTAGTCACCAAAAGTTACGGAATTGGCTACCAAAAATAATATTAGTCGGCAAAAGTCAACTTTTTAGCTACTATTTTTTTTAGTAGGGGAATGTTGATTATTGGCGACTAAAAAAAATTTAGTAGCTAAAAATATTACAATTGGCGACTACAAAAATTTTTAGTAGCTAAACATATCACAATTGGCGACTAAAAGAAATTTTAGTAGCCGTAGAGGTACCTTTAGCTACTAAACTGTTTGGTAGCCGAATGAAAATAAAAAATTTAATTTTTAATCTTTGGCGACCAAAATTTTGGTCGCCTGTAGACACCCCATTTTTTACCGTCCTCAAGACTTGGACGTCACCGTTTGAACACTCGGTGATTATCCATGTTTGTGTTCGTTTGGAGTTCCCGGAAGCCTCGGCTCGCGCGCCTTGTCTCAGGATCTCCGAACTCGACCGTTTAGTGTCTGGTTTTGCACCAAACACTTGCATCTTGCCCTTGAGAGGCAAGGTGGGGCTTGTAGACCATCCCCACCCATCACCGGCAGTGGCTAGATGCCACCGGCTGGTTTTTGCTGCCACCGGCAATATAGTTTGCCGGCCGGCACTCTTTGTTG